ATCAGCAGTGTTGACTAGGTAGCATGCATCAGCAGTGTTTACTAGGTAGCATGCATCAGCAGTGTTGACTAGGTAGCATGCATAAGCAGTGTTGACTAGGTAGCATACATCAGCAGTGTTGACTAGGTAGCATGTATCAGCAGTGTTGACTAGGTAGCATGCATCAGTAGTATTGACTAGGTAGCATGCATCAGCAGTGTTTACTAGGTAGCATGCATCAGCAGTGTTTACTAGGTAGCATGCATCAGCAGTGTTGACTAGGTAGCATGCATGTCTCTTCAGGGTGATTCTAACAGTGTCTCTCTGTGTGCTCAATTGGGGAAGAATGTGAAGTCGCATGATGGAGTAATTTGATTGAGCAGTACGTCCATAAAGACAAAAGGCCTTTATTCTTTTATGAATGTGTCTTGACTGCGTGCGCAAAATGCTTGTCAGCTGCATTTTTCCTTACTTCCACAGCTGAAGTAGCCTTACAGACATTATGAATTTGTGTAACTGGTTTATATGTGTTCCAGGCATTATGTTACTACAGTAAAATGCTAATGTGTCTTCTTGTTTTATAGGTGATGTACATAAGGAGGAAACGGAGGTAATTAATCATACTCCAGCTCTCTTTGAAAGATATCAAATGTTTGGAATAATTAGTTTTTTGGAAATAAATCTCTTTTGCACACCAAGGCTGCATTTATTTGATCAAAAATGTAGGAAAAATTTTAATATTGTCAAATAATATTACAATTGAAAAGCTTTCTCATTTGAATATATTGTAAATTGTGATTGATTGCTGTGATCAAAGCTGAATATTCAGCATCGTTACTTCTTCAGTGTCACGTGATTCTTCAGAAATCATTTTTATGATCAAATGTATATATTTATTTATGCTTAAGTATTAATAATGGTTCTTATTATTATCAATGTTGAAAGCAGTTTTTGCGGCTTAATATTTTTGTGGAAAAACTGCGATGCATTCTTTGATGAATTGAAAGTTCAGAAAACAGCCTTTATTTGAAATTGAAATCTTTTGTAACATTATGAATGTCTTTACTGTCACTTTTGATCAATTTAATGCATCCTTGCAGAATAAAAGTATTCATTTCTTTTTATTAAAAATGAGTGCTGTCAAACGATTAATCGCATCCAAAATAAAAGTTTTTGTTTACATAATATATGTGTGTGCTGTGTATATTTATTATGTATATATAAACACACACAATGCATGCATATGTTTAAGAAAAATATGTATGTTTATATATTAAATATGTTTATATATAATATAAAATATAAGAATATAAATATATAAATGCAAATGCATGTACATATTTTCAAAATATATACTGTGTGTGTGTATTTATATATACGTAATAAATATACACAGCACACACACATATATTATGTAAACTAAAACTTTTATTTTGGATCGCGATTAATCGTTTGACAGCACTATTAAAAATTAGTAAACTAATAAAATATTTTTTTTTCTTTTTCTTTCTTTTAATCTTATACTTACCTCAAACTATTGAATGGTATTGTATCATGATTTACACTAAATAATAATAATAATTATTAGTATTATTATTGTTGTTGGCGTTAATGTTGATTATAATTTGAAATATTTCTTGTGCAGCAAATCAGCATATTATTATCATTTCTGAAGGATCATGTGACACTGAAGACTGGAGGAATGATGCTGAAAATTCTCAGGAATAAATTACATTAGAAAACGATTGAGAATTGTATATCACTGTATTACTGTGTTTAATAAATACAGCCTTTGTTTTCCTCTTTGTAACACAGAAGTAGATGTTAGGCAAGAATGCCTGTCCCTCTGTTTTTCATACAATGTAAGTGGATGATGAAGGGAATTCTGTGCACTTTTAGGATTGATAGACTGCGGCATCAGCTGCTTCCAGTTTACACTTATGACCCGACCGAAGAGATGAACGAGGCAGAACAGGACATTCTTTGGAAAGAGGAAGACACAAAGGTAATCCATCCTGTTATGAGATGAAAAATGCTGATGTCTAATGCTGAAAATACTGTCATTAATTACTCACCGTCATGTCGTTTCAAACCCGTAAGACCGGCCAAAGTATACTTCGGCCGTCCGCGTCCGCGCACCATCCGCATTATGTCATTTTCGTCATCAGGAGGGCTCGCGGATGCACGAGGTGAAAGTTGAGACAGAGCGCAAGTCAAGTAGGTGGTACTGCGCCTGTGTCGAGCTCGTCCGTCTGCACTCATCCGCGGTTGAGTATACTTTGAAAGCTGTGCGGACGCGGCTGTGCGCGAGACGGAACGGAACGCGGAAAGTGAAGTATACCCGGGCCTTAATTAATGACAGAATTTTCATTTTTGGGTGAACTATCCCTTTAATATGTTCTCCACCAATATTAATACTTTTATTCAGCGAGGACGCAAGACATTTCTATTTCAAATAAATGCTATTCTCTTGAACTCCACAAAAATATGAAGCAGTACAGCTGTGTTCAATATTGATAATATTCAAAAATGTTTCTTGAGACTGGAGTAATGATGCTGAAAATATTATGCTTTTTTCACAGCAATAAATCACATTTCACTATATAGCCAAACGTACTGGGACACCCCCTTCTAACAAACAGGTCTGACTACTTTAGTGATTTCCATGAGTGCAAATCTTAATGTTGCATCTAATTTTATAGCAACAGTTTGGACAGGAGCCTTTTCTATTCTAACAGAAAAGTCTATTTTAAGTCTTTTCCTAGCTGCATTGCAAATGACAGTGCAGTGTTTTACAGCGAGTTGTTTAGCAACAGTAAACCAGTGGTAAACTGAACCAAACCTGCATCATTAAATATTCATGTCCTTTGTTTTAGTGCCTGAGAGAAACTGTAAAAAAGGTTGAACATTAAATGCGCTACGTGGCATGATGACAAGACCGTATCATGTTTAATTTTGGTGTGAAAAGTACATTTAAGAAATGGGAATTTCAAATGTTTCAGACCTATGACAACAACCTACGAGTGGATTTACACACATCTCCACATATTTACAGCCAGTTGCTTGCGTGTCGAGACGAGCCTGTGTGGAATACCTGTTCAGCACTGTAATAAACCACGTCGAAGTCTGAGAAACCTTTCTCTCTTTTTTGCATTTCCAGGTGGTCCAGGGTTGGATGAGGACGTATCAGCAGCGCAGACCCCTGCTCTCGAAGGATCCTGATGCATGAAAATCAGCTTTAACTTTTGGTGATTCTGCACATAATCTGTGAACCTGGTCAATAACTCAACACTGTCTCGTCGTCCTGTATTGCAGATTCCCAAGATGGACATTTTTGAGCAATAAGCTACTGATTTTCCCACTGTTTGAAGCGCTGAGTCTGGAAGAGCTTTAGGGACATGAGAAATCTACAGTGAAGCGATGGGATCATATCAGGTCTCTTCTCATGAAGCAGTCTGAATAGCAAGACTCCAGAAGGATGTTAATACGCCTCTGTGTTACTGTTGTTTATTTATTTTAGCTGTATGTATTCTGCTGATGTTCTGTGCTATTAAATCCTCACGAGAGCTGGTCGTTTTACTGAGTGTGCATGAATGTGATCTGCTAAAACGCCACTCAAGCGCTCAAGAATCTGTTTTATTTTTCATTCTCTATGTAAACTAGTTTGTCAGGTGACTCGCCTTGTTATGACACTCGTTTCCTGAACGCCGGATTGGAGTCCAATCAACATTGGAAGCAAGTGAATTTAATGGTACAGAAAAAAAAATGACTTTTTTTTTTTGAAATATCGTATTTTATGTTCCACATAAGAAGGAAACACTTATAAGTTTGGAGATGACGGTGAGTAAATGATGACAGAATTTTCATTTTTGGGTGAACTATCCCTTTAAAGGCGACATATCATGAAAATCTGACCTTTCCAGATTTTAAGTGCTATAATCAGGTCCCCGGTGCATCTACCAACCAAGGAAACGTGAAAAAGATTAACCCAGTTTTGTTAAGCTTTTTTCTGCAAGCGTCTGAGAAAACGAGAGCATCTGATTTTGCTCCCTTGGTGACGTGGCAAAGGGATCTCATTATAATATTACCGCCCCTTAATCTGCACATTTCCACCCAT